GGGTCGCGCTTCTGAAGCTCGAGGCTCTGTCGCTGGAGGTATTTTTGCTGTTGTCACTAGAGCAGGGAGTGGTGCTGGTCCCGGAGGTGCTCGTACTGGAGGTACTGGAGCTGCTGGGGCTGGAGGTGCTGCTGAGTCTGAGGGTGCTGGTGCTGGAGACCCTGGGTCTGGGGGTTCTGCTGCTGGAGACACTGAGGCTGGAGACCCTGGGTCTGGGGGTGCTACTGCTGGTGGAGTTGGTCCTGGAGGAGCTGGCGCTGAGGGTTCTGGAGTTGCTGGAGGTGCTGGAGCTGGTGGGGGTGCTGGAGCTACTCGTGCTGGTGGCACTACACAGCCGCGCCTGTTCTTCGCTCCACCGTCTACGTCGTCTCAGCCACCGCCTGACTTTGTGCTTCGTCAGGTTCTTAGTCTCCCTTCGTCTACTAGTCTTCCGTTACAGCCTGGCTCACCGCTGCCTGCTCCTTCTCCTTACACTGAGCACACAGTGGGTTTTACTGAGCGTCGTGAGCCTGCGTCACGTCCTGTCTCGCCTGTCCATTCTCGTAGCTCCGGTCGACGTGTTCCTCGTTCGCGTAAGCCGGCTCTCCCCGGCACCCACCTCGTAGTTCGTCGTCCTTCCTCTCCTCCGCAGCGTGTTCCTCTGCCGTCCCCTCCTGCGTCTTCTCTGCCTACCGTTCCTGAGCCTAAGTCTGACCGCACCCGTACTGCTCACTCTACTGTCATGCGTCTGCTAGCCACAATTGTCACTGACCCGTCGTTTGAGTCTACTGCTGCGTCTGCCTTTGTTGCTGAGCTTGTTGACTTTGCTGCAGCCTGTCGTCTAGACTACGCCGCTAGTCTTGTTGCTGAGTCTGAGTCTGTCTGTCCTCCGTTCGTCGGGGGTGAGTGTGCTCTTGGCACGGACGTCCTTGAGGACAGGCAGGAGGACTTTGAGTGTCTTGCAGCCGCTGCGCCTCATCTCGTGTCCATGCTGCTTGCCCCTGAGGGAGACCCGTATGCTCCAGACATCCCGACCCCGCGCTCTTACGCTGAGGCGATCGCGGGTGAGTACTCTTCTCAGAGGCAGACAGCCATGGACGCAGAGATGGCATCCTGGAAGTCCACAGGCACTTACGTTGACGAGGTTCCCCCTTCTAGGGCGAACATCGTCAGTGGCATGTGGATTTTCAGGGTGAAGCAGCCGCCAGGTTCTCCGTCTGTCTTCAAGGCTCGTTACGTTGCTCGAGGCTTCTGTCAGCGAGAGGGAGTAGACTTCTTTCAGACCTTCTCCCCCACCCCGAAGATGACCACTCTTCGGGTGCTGCTGCACGTCGCCGCTCAGCGTGACTACGAGCTTCAGTCTCTTGACTTCATCATAGCTTTCTTGCAGGGCAGCCTGCACGAGGAGATCTGGCTGCACCGCCCTCCTGGCTTCACTGGGTCGTTCCCTCCTGGTACCCAGTGGAGCCTCCGGCGGCCACTCTACGGTCTCCGCCAGGCACCACGTGAGTGGCACGACACACTGAGGACTACACTTGCGGCTCTTGGGTTTGCACCGTCGACTGCTGACCCGTCGCTGTTTCTGCGCACCGACACGTCGCTGCCGCCGTTCTACATCTTCGTGTACGTCGACGACTTGGTCTTTGCCACTGCTGACACTGAGGCTCTCGCCCACGTGAAGTCGGAGCTGCAGAAGAGACACACGTGCAGAGACCTGGGTGAACTGCGCAGCTACCTTGGCTTGCAGATCACCCGGGACAGAGCACGCCGCACCATCACACTGACTCAGTCACACATGGTGCAGCAGGTCCTTCGGCGCTTCGGCTTCACCTGGTCCTCGCCACAGTCCACTCCTCTGGCTACCGGTCACTCGCTCTCAGCTCCACCTTCGGACGAGTCCGTAGAGCCGAGTGGCCCGTACCCAGAGCTAGTGGGCTGCCTCATGTACCTGATGACCTGCACTCGTCCTGACCTTGCGTACCCTCTTGGCCTTCTGGCTCGCTATGTGGCTCCTGGTCGGCACCAAAAGGTGCACATGGATGTTGTGAAGAGGGTACTGCACTACTTGTGCGGTACATCGGGCATGGGGTTCGTGCTTGGAGGGCGGAGCGCAGTTGTCCTCACTGGGCACTCAGACGCTTCTTGGGTTGACGACCAGGCTACGCAGCGGTCGTCACAGGGTTACACCTTCAGCCTTGGCTCTGGTTCAGTTTCTTGGCGTTCTACACGCTCCTCTTCTGTTCTCAGCTCCAGTTGTGAGGCTCAGATCTACGCCACAGCCATGGCTGCACAGGAGTTACGCTGGCTCACCTACCTGCTGACCGACCTGGGAGAGCGGCCTCGTTCTCCTCCAGTGCTGTACGTTGACAACAAGACCGCCATTGCCTTGTGTCAGGAGCACAGACTGGAGCACAGAACGAAGCACATCGCTCTGTGTTACTTCCTGGCTCGAGAGTTGCAGCAGCGTGGTCAGCTTCGTTTTGCTCACGTGGCCACTCGGGCCAACACTGCTGATATATTCACCGAGGCACTTCCGTCTGGTGATCATCAGCGTTTTTGCACTTTGTTAGGCCTTGTGCCCACTTTTCCTTACTTGGTGTAGTCTCTGTTTGTACTGTGATCTATATATATATACCTGCATGCTTGCTCTTGCTAGGTAGAGATCACTGTACTGTTCTTGTTGTTTATATACCTCTGCATATGGATTGGCCTTGTGGCCGTTTTCTTGTGCTCAGTGTGTGTGGTGACGTTGTGATCCACCCTGAGCTGTGTTTTGTTTCTTCTCTTGACTGGTCTTGTGACTATTGCTTGCTCTGGCGATCCCCCATTTCGCCTATGGGGGTGTGTCAAAATATATGCATGTTATTGTCTAGGCTATATTGGGGCTAGCCTTAGGGGGTACAGAAAACTTCTCGACACCCTAGTCTTGTACCCCAACTTTCACCCAATGCATCATCCTTGCCTAAGATTCTGACAAGTCAGCCCCGCCATAAGATTTTCGGGCAGGCATAGCAGACTCTCGCATTTGAGCGAGAGGGATTTCAGCCCGGTTAGCTGTTGCAAGGATTCCGGAATGCTCTCTAGACCATCCACTTTAATTTCGAGGGTTTCCAGCAGACCCAAGTCGTCGATCGCGTTAGGAAGCTCCGTGATAGTTTCTGGAAAGAGTTCACCGCTAGTAATGCACAGCGTGCAAAGGGTACCACGCAAAAGGCCCACGCTCGGATCGAGTCCGAGACCGCGGAAACTCGGTCCCACGCCGATTCCCAACTCCCGCAGCAGCTGAAGCGCGCCGATGCTCTCGGGCAACGAAACGAGCTCCTGTAACGAGTCGTGGCCATAACGAGTATGCGAGCACACGTAGAGGGTTTGGAAATCTGTGAGGAGCGAGAGGGACGCCGGGAGATGCGGGAGGCCATTGGTGGTGAGTAGGCCGTTGGTGGTGGCCGTTGGTGGTGAATCTCTGAGCTTGCGGCATCCATGGAAGAGGGACGCGAGGCCGTCTACGGTAACCGACATTTCAAACTGGTGCTCCACCGTCAGATGCAACAGATGCGGACATGTGGCGGCCAGACAGTGAAAGAGCGCGTCGCCGTCGGCGGATAAGATGGAAAAACAGCCCAGCGACACGTGCGTGAGGGCGGGGAAGCGGCGCAGCGCGGAAAGAAGGCTCGGAAGCGGAAGCCACGCAAGCTCCGCGTTGCGGTCGACCTCAAAGGGATGTGTCTCAATCATAGAATCATTCGAAAACCCGCGATGCTGAACGGTTATGTGGGAGAGCGCGGACGTGGCGAGGCGGAGCCAGCGTTTCGACATGAGCTCGGCGTGGCGGAAGGAGGTCTGGCGGAGGACGAGCGCGAGAACGTCGTCGGGGAGGCGCTCCAGGGGGAAGGGCGGCTCGGAGCGTGCGGGCGAAACCATGGCTTTGCAGCGGCGAAGGAAAGAGACTAAGGTCACGGTTCTGGGCGAAGCTTGGACACCATCAACCAAAATTTTCCCTCACTGACGTGTAAACACACCCGATCATTGGTTACTACACAAGTTGCGAGAAATATTGGAGGGTGGCAGCCAATCAGACGTGTTCATTGCTACCAAAGTGTCCACACTTCAGATGGTTTCCACACTTCAGATGGTGTCCAGACTTCAGAACCGTGATCTAACGCAATTGCGTGAAATATTGAAGAGGGCGAAAATACTGGAACGCGAGAAGCTTTGCTCTAGTCTAAACACTATTACAATTGATGCCTGTTTGATCCCCTCCCGGTTGCCTTGTGAAGGGGGCGTATTAGCTGTATCGTGCATTTCGCATAAGTTTCGTCAATTCGCAGCTAGCTAAAAAGGATTCGCAGGTGCTTATATTAAGTATCTGTAACCTTATCCGTTGACATTTCGACTTCCGTCTCTTCAGTTTGACTTCGCTCCGCTCGTTAATATTAGTCCATAACCACGCGACGCGCTTGTATTATGGGTGCAACAGGCTGGGGAAAAGACCTGGGGTGCAGCGTTTCCATCCGGGCCAGGGCAAATCCGCGTGCACTGGTTGGGCATCATGTGTAGCTCGACGCAAAAAGTCGGTGGGTTGGTTGGCGGGAAGAGTGAAATGACGTGGCTGTCGGTAAAGTCAATCACCCGAGACCCTGCCCCGAACCATTGACAGCAGAGCTTTGACTTCAAGTCAACCCTGTGACTCTCTACAAGACCACCCATTTAAAGCAAGATTCGAGTGTTCCGAGTGTTTCCTGAACAAGTGAAGGCATTATTTGAGAAACGAATCTCCCTGAGACATGGCTGGCGTACTGGCCTTAGCTGCTTGTCGGCTTGTGATAAGAATGGCACACTACATGAGGCGACAGCAGCAATCACGACAAAACTGGCAAAGCCGGAAACATATATTTTTTCTTAGTGAATGCTTGAGATATGACAGTGCTAACTCTGACTTTGTCATCGATGTGCGGCGGGCAGACTTTCCTCAGCAACTATGGAAACCATTGTGAAAAATGGAAAGAAAGCCTTGTGCACAATCACTTGCGGGCTACTTTCCCTCCACGAGCCCGCTTTAGTGCTGTGACAGCATCTGCTTGCTTCGACCCCACCACTCCCGCCATCCTCCCTGCCCCACCTCCCCCTCCCCCTGCTCCCCCTCCCCATCCCCTTCCCCCTCCCCCACCACTCCCCCTTCCAGGTGACTGGCCTCCTCTTCCCCCACCCCTGCTCATTCCCCTGCCTCCTCTCCCTCCCATTCCCCCACCACCCCTCCCCCTCCCTCCTCCCCCACCTCCCCTCTGCTGCTGCCATGCCCCTCCCCTTCCCCCTCCTCTCCCCCCACCACTCCAACCCCCCCTTCCCCCGTGCCTACCCCCTCGCTCCCCCCCTCCCTGCGTCTGCCCTGCCCCCCACTGCTTCCCCGCTCTAGCAGTTGCCAAGGAAACAAAGGGATTGGCGAGGTGCTGGGAGTTCCCAGGGGTGGCTGCTGCTGCTGACGTGGCGGCAGCGGATGGGGTTGCTTGCAGCTGATTGGCCAGCTCGGTTGTCATGCCGGACTGACGTGTGATTGGAGAGAGGAGGGGCGGGGGGGGGGGGGACGACAAGGTTGAAACCAGAAGGCAGAGGAGGAGAGGATAACAGCAGAAAGGAGAGAAGGAGAGGAGGAGAGGAAGGATTGGTGAAGGGTGGTGGTCCAGTGTATATGGTGCAAGGGTTGTTCAAGGGTGAAAAGGTTTGTCAAAGGGTGGAAAGGTTTGCTCAAGGGTGGAAAGTGATATTAAAATCTTCCAGCAGAGGTGAGAGACTCACAGTACAGGCATGAAACCTCAAGAAAGGGAAACAACGTAGGAGGAAAGGGAAGAGAAGAATGACTCACCGCGGAGATGAGTGAGCGCAGGTTGGTGGGCCTGAGGGGCTGCGAGACTGCTTGCTTCAGCGCCTGGAGTAACAAATTCAAAGAGAGAAGGGCACGACAATTGATGGACAGATGAACGAATGGGAGAGGAGAAGGAGAGGGAGATGAGGGGAGTGGCACCGGAGTGAGATGAATGAGTACAGGTTGGTGGGTCTGAGGGGAGGGGCCTAGAAACTGCTTACTTCAGAACGTGCCAGCCCCTGTACAGGTTCTGAAGTAACCTCTTCTAGAACGTTACTTCAGAATGTGCCAGCCCCTGTACAGGTTCTGAAGTAACCTCTTCTAGAACGTGCCAGCCCCTGTACAGGTTCTGAAGTAACCTCTTCTAGAACGTTACTTCCGAACGTGCCAGCCCCTGCCCCTCACCTCTTTCATCCTCGGCAGTTCAATCGTCTCTTGCTCCATCTGCTGTCTTCCGTCCTTCCCTGACTCCCCCTAAGAGCACCCACAGAACTCACCCTGCTAGATTTTGGGCAAATGTGGTCAATCCCTACCCACATCACCCTCTCATTTCCTCACCTCTTTCATCCTCGGCAGTTCAATCGTCTCTTGCTTCATCTGCTGCCGCCCATGCTCCCCTGTCTCCCCATTACCCGCCTGCCTCTCTCTAACGGCACCCACAGAATTTACCCTGCTAAATTCTGGGCAAACTGGCTGAATCCCTACCCACATCCTCCCCTGTCAGTCGCTCACCTCTTTCATCCTCTGCAGCTCTATTGTCTCCTGCTTCATCTGCTGTCGCCCGTCCTCCCCTGTTTCCCCCGGCCCCTCCCACCCGCGCTTCTCCCCTCGCCCCACCAACCGCCTCACATCCACCCCTCGATCCACATCCCCTTCCTCCTCCTCCTCCTCCCCGCCCCGTGCCCCTCCCCGCCTCCTCTTCCTCCTCCGCTCCTCCTCTTCCCGCTGCTGCTGCTTCTTGTTCCTCTTCCCTCGCCCTCCCCTCTCCCCCTCGTCGTCACTCTCCCCTCCTGCCTCGTCAAAATCATCAAAATCCTCTTCCTCACTCTCCTCCTCCTCTCCCCCTTCTCCGCCCTCTTCCTCCTCCTCCTCTTCCCCCCCTTCCTCCGGATTCAATTGAACCGCCTTGGAAGCCCGCTGCTTCCAGGAAGTTTCAGCTTTCTCCTTGGAGTGCTTGCGAGAGAGAGTGTCGACACTTAAAGCCAGGCTCACGCATTGCTTGAGGTTGGGCAGGTAGTTATGATCGACTGGGAATGTGGGGAGCGGACCAGTCTGTGGAGGGGAGAGAGAGAGAAGAGGGTAAGGTTGAGAGGGCGCCAACACTTAAAGCCAGGCTGACGCATTGCTTGAGATTTGGGAGGTAGTTATGGTGGACCGGAAAGGTGGGGAGAGGACTCCTCTGTGGGGGGGAGGGAGAGAGAGAGAGAGAGAGAGAGAGAGAGAGAGAGAGAGAGAGAGAGAGAGAGAGAGAGAGAGAGAGAGAGAGAGAGAGAGGGATGGGAAACAAAATCAGAGGAAAAAGTTGAGGAGAGAGTGTCCTCACTTGAAAGAAGGAGTGTTTTGAGACGTCTCAAAAGTTGAGGAGAGAGTGTCCTCACTCAAAGCCAGGCTGACGCATTGCTTGAGGTTGGTCCGCGCGCGCGCCTTGGTCCACGGAGCACCCTCTGATGCATTGGCTCTGGCAGTGCGTGCACAGGAAACTGGGGACGTACCCAACCCACACCACAAGGCTCACGACTCTATTCTCTCCCATCATCCTCCAAGCTGGATACTCACCTTGTTGAGCTGAGCTTCCTAAGCAGCGACGAGTATTTGATGGAGTCTTTTGGCGTCACCAGAGCCACGGAGCACCCCTCAGAATAAGCGCCTCTAGCCATGCGGCCGCAGTACTTTTACTGCAAGCACCAACTGCAGTCCCTAGAGCCCACCTTATTCAGCTTCCTCAGCAGCGAGGAGTATTCGATGGAGTCCTTGGGCGTCACCAGAGCCACGGAGCACCCCTCTGATGCAGCTCCTCAATACATAGTCCATCCACAAGCACGTGTGGACGCACCTCATTCAGCTTCCTCAGCAGCGAGGAGTATTCGATGGAGTCCTTGGGCGTCACCAGAGCCACGGAGCACCCCTCAAGGACAGGGCTATACATAGCCCAGAAGCAGTGTGCTGCCACATCAACTCAGCCCTCACCTTATTCAGCTTTCGAAGCAATGACGAGTATTCGATGGAGTCCTTGGGCGTCACCAGAGCAACGGAGCACCCCTCTGAGGACAAGAGCACACATTGACAAGAGTTGCTCTCTTGACGCACCCAGAAACAGCAACTCGGCCCGCACCTTGTTCAGCTTCCTAAGCAATGAAGAGTATTTGATGGAGTCCTTGGGCGTCACCAGAGCAACGGAGCACCCCTCAGAGGCAGTGCGACCACAGGGAGCTCGAAAGCTACCCTCTTTTGAGTCGACTCAAAAGTCACTCAGAGGCAGTGCGACCACAGGGAGCTCGAAAGCTACCCTCTTTTGAGTCGACTCAAAAGTCACTCAGAGGCAGTGCGACCACAGGGAGCTCGAAAGCTACCCTCTTTTGAGTCGACTCAAAAGTCACTCAGAGGCAGTGCGACCACAGGGAGCTCGAAAGCTACCCTCTTTTGAGTCGACTCAAAAGTCACTCAGAGGCAGTGCGACCACAGGGAGCTCGAAAGCTACCCTCTTTTGAGTCGACTCAAAAGTCACTCAGAGGCAGTGCGACCACAGGGAGCTCGAAAGCTACCCTCTTTTGAGTCGACTCAAAAGTCACTCAGAGGCAGTGCGACCACAGGGAGCTCGAAAGCTACCCTCTTTTGAGTCGACTCAAAAGTCACTCAGAGGCAGTGCGACCACAGGGAGCTCGAAAGCTACCCTCTTTTGAGTCGACTCAAAAGTCACTCAGAGGCAGTGCGACCACAGGGAGCTCGAAAGCTACCCTCTTTTGAGTCGACTCAAAAGTCACTCAGAGGCAGTGCGACCACAGGGAGCTCGAAAGCTACCCTCTTTTGAGTCGACTCAAAAGTCACTCAGAGGCAGTGCGACCACAGGGAGCTCGAAAGCTACCCTCTTTTGAGTCGACTCAAAAGTCACTCAGAGGCAGTGCGACCACAGGGAGCTCGAAAGCTACCCTCTTTTGAGTCGACTCAAAAGTCACTCAGAGGCAGTGCGACCACAGGGAGCTCGAAAGCTACCCTCTTGAACAACAGCTCACCTTGTTGAGTTTTCGCAGCAGCGACGAGTATATAATCGAGTCCTTGGGCGTCACCAGCGCCACGGAGCACCCCTCAGAAGACGTGTGACCAAGGGAGATGCGCGACTTACCCTCTTGAACCACTCACCTTGTTGAGTTTCCGCAGCAGCGAGGAGTATTTGATGGAGTCCTTGGGCGTCACCAGCGCCACGGAGCACCCCTCAGAGGCGGCTCCTCTAGCAGTGCGGCCGCATCGATGCACGTAGCCCTCTGCTGTGTGCGGTAGCTGGTAGTGCACCACCAGACGCACCTGGAGGAGGGGATTGGAATGGGCAGAACAGAGCAAGGAGTGAGCATTGGAAGTGCACAGGGATTGTTGTTGTTGCTCTCTGGCGGTGCGGCTAGCAGCGGTGCACGAAGCCCTCTGCCGTGTGTGGTAGCAGATAGTGCACCACACCACCAGACGCACCTGGAGGGGGATAACAGGAGACATGGCACCGGATGGGCAATGGCACCAGCAGCAGTCAGTCAATTTGAGAAGCTGCGTTTCATCTCTGGCTGTGCAGTGCAGCCTCTTGACTTGAGGCACTGAGCATCAAGTCACCTTGACTCATATTCGAAGGGCTGCAGTAGTAGGAAAAAAAACCATGAGTCAAGGTAAGGTCTGTTTTTTTTTTCTCCTACTACTGCAGGCAGCCCTTCGAATATGAGTCAAGGTAAGCTGTGTGCAGCCTCTTGAATTGAGGCACAGAGCATCAAGCCTCTGCTGGCTTGACTAGGGTACCGGCGAGGGCGAGAAGGAAGCAGAAACAGCAGCTCACCTCGGGAACGTCGAGACCTCTGGCTGGCTGCCACGTCAGTCGCAACCATCAAGCCGCTGGGGTGATGCCTGAAACGGTCCAGCTCCTTGAGATGCTGCGAGTGTGCCTGCTGTATCAGAGAGCACGGCACTTGGCTTCTCACAGAGACGTACCTCGGGAACGTCCAGCCCTCTGGCCGCCACATCAGTGGCCACGAGCACACAGCTGGGGTTCTGCCGAAAACGATCCAACGCCTTTTGAGGCGGTGAGAATAAATATAGACTCTATGATTATTTATTCTCCAACACCTCTATGATGCTGGCAGAGGTGATAAGTGAAGCAACAGCAGCTCACCTCGGGAACGTCCAGCCCTCTGGCTGCCACATCAGTCGCTACCAGCACGCCGCTAGGGTGCTGCCGAAAGCGATCCAACGCCTTGAGACGCTGCCGCTGCTGCTGCTGTGCGTGCAGGGGAAAGGACGGCACCTGTGGGCGCAGCAGGGAACGGACAGGAGTAAGCAGATAGAAGGAATGCGAAATTTACATGAGAAATGGGAGGAGAAGGGTGGGAGAAGGGTGGGAGAAGGGTGGGAGAAGGGTGGGAGAAGGGTGGCAGGAAAGAAGGGGGGAATTTTGCAGGTGTAGATACAAGGGGTGGACGTAAAAGGGGCGGGCGGAGAACAGAAGGGTCGCTTACTTGCAGGAGCGAGAGCAGGGAGGCGAGGCGGCGGACAGAGGAAATGGCGGAGCAGAAGACGAGCGTGCGACCAAAGGTGCCGTGCATGCGCAGGAGGTAGAGGAGGAATACGTCCCTCATGCTGTCGTCACACCTGGGGACAAGGAAGGGGAGGAGAGTTAAAGAGAAGAGGGGTGTATGGGGTGTGGTGAGGAGACACAAAAAGGGACAGAAGGCAAAGGTGCCATGCATTCACAGGAGGTAGAGGAGAATGACGTCCCTCATATGTTTTTCAAGAATTCTAAAAAAACATAGGAGGTAGAGGAGACTTTTGAGTCGACTCAAAAGTCACCTCATAGGAGGTAGAGGAGAATGACATCCCTCATGCTGTCGTCACACCTGCACGCGAGGGAGGCAGAAAGGAGGACATGTGGGTTATGGGGATATGGGATGTGGTTAACAAGCGTGCGACGTGCCATGCATTCACAAGAGGTAGAGGAGAATGACGTCCCTCATGCTGTCGTCACACCTGCAGGGCGGGCAGGGCAAAACACAACAGTGGAAGGACGCATAAAAGACTGTGCCACCACCACTCTACACCCCTCTAGACCACATCACACAAGCACTGATCCGGTTACTCACACTCTTATGCCGCTTCCTGCATGCCGAGCAATTGTCTCCGGCACAGGCGCATGCCAGTCAGCCGCATAAGAGCCACTGTCACCACTCTACACCCCTCGAGACCACTCTACTCACTGTAACAGCACCACCCCTTGCAGTGACCTAGACAACTCACTCTAGAGCAGCCTCCTGCACGCCACTGGGCAGCACATCAGCCGTGGTGAGATCCATCGGAGCACATTACACCACAGCACTTCCCCTTCTTGTGACCCAAACACAATAATGCAGCTTCTGGAAACTCACTCTAGAGCAGCCTCCTGCACGCCACTGGGCAGAACATCAGCCGCGGTCAAATCCACAATGGCAGGGGACGGCCGCATGCCAGTCAGCTCCATAAGTGCCGCCACCACCCTACACCTTTCTAGAGTGTAGACCACAGCACAGCACAGCACACACTGATTCGATTGCTCTCACTCTAGAGCAGCCTCTTGAACTCCGCTGGCCACCACATCAGCTGTGGTGAGATCAACAATGGCAGGGGACGGCCACATGCCAGTCAGCTCCATTAGTGCCGGCACCACCCTACACCTTTATAGAGTGTAGACCACAGCACAGCACAGCACACAGACACACTGATTCGATTGCACTGACTCCAGTGCAGCTTCTTGAACCCCACTGGCCACCACATCAGCCGCGGTCAAATCCACAATGGCAGGGGACGGCCGCATGCCAGTCAGCTCCATAAGTGCCGCCACCACCCTACACCTTTCTAGAGTGTAGACCACAGCACAGCACAGCACAGCACACACTGATTCGATTGCTCTCACTCTAGAGCAGCCTCTTGAACTCCGCTGGCCACCACATCAGCCGTGGTGAGATCAACAATGGCAGGGGACGGCCACATGCCAGTCAGCTCCATTAGTGCCGGCACCACCCTACACCTTTATAGAGTGTAGACCACAGCACAGCACAGCACACAGACACACTGATTCGATTGCACTCACTCCAGTGCAGCTTCTTGAACCCCACTGGCCACCAAGTCAGCAGTGGTCGAATCCACAATGGCAGGGGACGGCCACATGCCAGTCAGCTCCATTAGTGCCGGCACCACCCTACACCTTTTTAGAGTGTAGACCACATCACAGCACAGCACACAGACACACTGATTATATTGCACTCACTCCAGTGCAGCTTCTTGAACCCCACTGGCCACCACGTCAGCAGTGGTCAAATCCACAATGGCAGGGGACGGGCGCATGCCAGTCAGCTCCATTAGTGCCGGCACCACCCTACACCTTTATAGAGTGTAGACCACAGCACAGCACAGCACACAGACACACTGATTCGATTGCACTCACTCCAGTGCAGCTTCTTGAACCCCACTGGCCACCACGTCAGCTGTGGTCAAATCCACAATGGCAGGGGACGGCCACATGCCAGTCAGCTCCATTAGTGCCGCCATCACCCTATCCCTCTAGACCACAGCACACACGCACAGATCACTGACTTTTGAGTCGACTTAAAAGCCACCACTCTAGACCATAGCAAACAAGCAGAAATCAGTTTACACTCACTCTAAAGCCGCTTCCTGCACGCCACTCGCCACCACATCAGCAGTGGTGAGATCCACAATGGCAGGGGACGGCCGCATGCCAGTCAACTCCATCAGAGCCGCCACCACCCTATCCCTCTCCAACCCCTTCTCCCTCTCCTTCTCCCCCTCATCCTCCCCCTCTCCCTCTCCCCCGTGCGCTCCCTCCCTCTCTCGCTTCCTCCCGGTCCGTCTATCTTCTGCCCCGGGTCCTCCTGGCGTTCGTTTTTTTCCTTGCAGCTGCCCGCGCGTGTCGTCGGGCAGAACGAGAGTTGCGGAGAAGACTAGGACTTGCCGCTTCTTTTTCGCGAGGGTGGGTGGCTGAAGAGCAAACGAATCCTCTCCTCCCCCTTCTCCTTCTCCTTCTCCTTCTCCTGCTTCTCCCTCTTCTCCCACTTCTCCCTCCTCCCCATCCTCCCTACCTTCTTCTCCTTCTTCTCCTCCCCCCTCCCCTTTAGTCTCCTCCTCTTTCTCCTCCTTTCCCTCCTCCTCTTCCTCTCCATTCCCTTCCTTTTCAGCCTTTTCCGTCCCCGCTTTCCTCTTTCCTTTCTTTCCTCTCGCCGCATCCCTCTCCTCGGCAATTTTAGCTGCCCGAGCTGCCTTTTTGGCTGCCCGAGCAGCATCTCGGGCTGCCAGAGCCGCCTCCTTGGCCTTGGCAGCAGCGAGAGAAGCAGCCGTGGGGGGCAGCATTCCCAAAATGGACGAAAGCTCCTTGAACCTTCCTGGGTCAGCCATGCGGTCAGCCTCATCTAGAACAAGGAACGAAAGGTACTCGAGCTGCAGGGGGGGAACGGAATGTTGGAGAGAGGGGGAAGGAGAATGCCGGGGGGGGGGGAAGGGGATGAGTGGGCAAGGGGACATTTGATGTGTCTCAAAAGCCAGCCATGCGGTCAGCTTCGTCTAGAACGAGAAAGGACAGGTGCTCAAGATGCAGGGGGGAGGAGGGGAGGGGGGCAGGGGAAAGAGATGGTAAGGGGTTGAGAGGGGTAAAGGGAGCAGTAGAGAGCATTCGGGCTGCAGAGGGGGGAGAAAAGGGGGGGGCGGGGGTAGTGGGAAAAGGGGTAAGGGGAATGGCGAATGGCAGAGAGGAAAACAATAATGCCGCAGGCAGCAGGTGCGCCTCCCTACCTGCACCATACCTCCATGCTTACATAGAAACACATCATCACACCCAAAGACAGTCCCACCTGCACCAGGTGCGCCTCCCCTTTGCTCATGACCTCCCACACCTCTCCTGCACACCACATGCATGCATATGTACCTTCAACAAGTGCCCCACATACTCACCCAGACAGTCCCACCTGAACCAGGTGCGCCTCCCCTTGGCTCATGAGCTCCCACAGCCGCCCGGGCGTGCCGACCACAATCTGCGGGTCGTGGCTCGTGGTTTCATCACCTCCCTTACACACCACATAGCATGCATGCCTCTGGTACAGGTAGGACTGTCTATGTGGCATATGTACCTTCACCAAATGCCCTCCCTACCCCACCTTCGCCAGGTACCCCTCCCTGCCTAAAGAAATATACACACACACAGAGACAGTCCCACCTGCACCAGATGCGCCTCCCCTTGGCTCATGAGCTCCCACAGCCGCCCGGGAGTGCCGACCACAATCTGCGGCCCGAGGCTCAGCACGCGCCGCTGCTTCACCTCCGCCATGCCGCCCACAATGCCGGCCACGTGGATGCCCGTGTGGCGGGCCGCGTCTTTTATGTGCGATACGATCTGCAGCGCCAGCTCACGCGTGGGCGTGATGATGAGCGCTCGCAGCGGCCCCCTCACTCTCTTCCGAACCCCGCCGCCCACCACCTTTCCCCCCATCTTCCCGCCCGCCCCCTCCCCTTCCGCCTCTTTATCCCCCTCCCCTCCCCCATCCCCTTCCCCGCTCTGCTCCTCCCCAACTCTCTCACTCCCCGCGCCCTCCCCCCCTCCCGCCTCCCCTTCTCCTCCCCCGTCCTCCCCATCCCCATCCCCCTCTTCCCCCCACGGCCCGCCCCCGTCCTTCAACCTTCTCTCCTTCTCCCTTTCATCCAACAACCTCTGCAGGATCGGAATGGCAAACGCGAGGGTCTTACCCGACCCAGTTTCAGCCGCCCCCACAACGTCCCTCCCCCGGGACGCAGCAGCGGGGATGCAAGCGCGCTGGATGGGCGTGGGGAAGGTGAAACCGAGGTCGTGTAGGGCGCGGAGAATGAGGGGGTGCAGACGGAGGTGTTCCCATTCCGCCATGTCTATGTCCTCTTCTCTCTCCTCGCCTTCTCCTTGCACCCCCTCTGCTGCTCCGTCGATTTCTATGCTCAATGCTTTGCCTTCTGCAGTCTCCTCCCCATCACTCTCCGCATCTTCCTCTCCCTCCTCCCCTTTCTCCTCTTCTCCCTCCTCTCCCTCCTCCCTCTCCTCCCCCTCCTCTCGCTCCTCCCCCTCCTCCTCGTCTCCCTCCTCTCCCTCCTCCTTACCCTTTGCTTGCTTCTCTCCTGCGCCCTTGTGCCTCTCACCCCGCTCCCCTCGCTTCAAAGCCGTTTTCAGCTGCTTCCTCTGCATCTTCCGCCTCTTGCTCTTGCTCATCTTCCCCTTCCCCTCTAAAACCCTGTCCCCGACCCCCGCGTCTCCCACCCCAGTTCCACTCTCTCCCCCGTCCGCCTCAACATCCTCATTTCCAGGCTCTTCCCCCGCGCCTTCTTCCCCCAATTCTCCCCCGCCCTCCTTTTCTCCGCCCTCCAAATCTCCACCCCCAAAATCCCCGCCCTCCAAATCTCCACCCTCCATTTCTCCGCCAGCCAGCTCCACCCCGCCCTCCATCTCTCCGCCAGTCACCAATCCCTCAAACTCCGCCGGGTCAATCTCTTCCAGCCCCATGAAGCCTGGCGGAAGGAATGGGGGGAAACCGGAAGGATGGGGTTAAACTGGAGGAATGGGGGGAAACCAGGGGGATGGGGCAAAATTTCGCCCTGCATCTCTCCGCCCTCCAGTGCTCCGCCAGCCGGCAGCCCCTCAAATTCCGCCGGGTCGATCTCTTCCAGCCCCATGAAGCCTGGCGCGGGGAGATGGCGGAAATTTGGGGGAGTCGGGGGAAGATGGAGGAAAATTGGGAGAGAGACGGCGGAAAATGGGAAGAGCTGGCGGAAGACGGGGGGAGATGGTGGAAGATGGGGGGAGATGGCGGCGGAAAGCGAGGGATAGGAAAGGGAGGCGAGGAGGGCGGGTGGTTAGCGGCAAGAAGCCGTCAGAGAAGGGCTGCGACTGTCGAGAACGGAAAAACATAGGAAAAGGGAGAAAAAAAATTCTGAGATCGATTCAGAGGGGAATCGAAAAGGTCAGCAAGGTTTGACAGTCGGGGTTATGGGGAGGGTCACCAAGGGGTTGACGATATGGCGTACCTCCCGCGGCAAGGAGGGGGTGGCAATATGGCGTACCTCCCGCGGCGGGGTTGCGCGGGTCCATGAGCATGTGCGTCCCTGCCACGGGCGTAACGTCCTTCCATTTCACCATGCTAAAATTCAACCTGCCTCCGCGCATCGTCTTCCCTCCGCCAATCACCTTTCCTCCGCCTCCCCGGAAGGCCTTTCCTCCTCCGCCTCGCCGCATAATTTCACCCTTTCTACCGCCCACAGCTCCCTTATTCTTCCCCCCGAATCCATTCCCTTTGCCGCTCGCGCTGCCTTTTACTGCCCCTCGCGACCCAAGCTTTGCGGCGCCGCCTCGCGTGCGTGTACCGCCGCGACCGCCTTTCATGAGGAACTGAATCTAGACAACTCGGACAAGGGAGTTCTGTGAGAACAGGCGAGGTGGTTCTTCCCAGCTAGCTTATGCCCTAATTCTCGCGGCAGGGGTTTTTGGTGCCTATGATGGTGGCAGTGGCCCACTTTGAAGGGCCTCGATATAGGAAATTTGTTTTTCCTTTCCTGCGCTGATGGAAAACACGATATATTTACCGGGTTGCACTGAACGAGAAACTTCGCGTTACAATCGGGCCCGATGAAATTGATATAAGGCTTTGGATTTCAGTGAAGTCAAATGTAAAACAGCGAAACCGTGATCGAGCAAATATTGTCTTGACGAATGGGAATTCTTGATGGCGTGTCAATTGCAACGAAAACTGCCACATCGGAGGCACAAAGATCTCCGTGCTAGGCGCTGGTGAGTCAGGCTCGTGCGGCGCGGCAATCTCGGTGGTTGCTGGGAGTTACGGAATCTCTTCAACACGGTTGGATGAGCAAATCAGAGAAGCTTTCAGCGATTCTAGACAGGAATCACAGAACGAGCCGAATTTCAGATGCACCCTCTCAACAGCCAGCAACTGTCAGTGTTCTTCACCTCATGGCCATCCTCATGGAATTTACATGACACACAATCAGCAACATTACGAGCCTCAGATCTCCAATATACTCCAGCCTGTACCTTCCATTAGACAACAATTCGTTGTTGAGGCTTGAGAACGATGGCCGCTGTTGCTGTCGCTGCTGCGTCCTCTAGCGTTGCACTGAAACTTTCAGCGCCGCGGAATGGGGTCGCTTCCTCTCGGACTCCCGCTCTAGCCTCGTTCCCCAGGCTCTCTAGGACAAGTAAGATGTCTTCAATGATTTATTTTCTTCTGGTATCACAAGAATTGGTTTCACGGAGAAGACTTACACAAGGGCTACGAATGGGTGACTAATTGCAGGTGTTGCGGGGAAACGCAAGCTCACGGTGAAGGCCACTTCGCCTCAAGTGGAGGAGTACAAGGGAAAGGCAACTGAACTCGTCGACGTTGCCAAATCCAAGGTTCATGTTTGCCGCAATTCTCCTCATTCTGTTCCGAATTCCGCCTCTTTGCTGGACGATTTCTAAAACGCAAACTGTTAATTGGTGATGCAGTGGGAAACAGTTGAGAACAAGCCTTTGGTGGCTCTGTATGCTGGTGGAGCCGTTGTTGGTTTATGGATAACATCTGCAATCCTGGGTGCTATCGACAGCATCCCGCTGGTGAGAAACTTACACCATACAGTTGCCGTAGCCGTCATTCCTCGTGTATCCAAGTGTGTTTCGTTTATTCTTTGGTGCATAATCTCTCATACCACGCTGCAGGTTCCAGGCTTCTTGAAGCTCGTTGGAACCGTCTACACTGGATGGTTCGCCTACCGCTACTTGTTATTCGAGGTCAGTTGTCACCGTCGAGCAAAAGTATCGTTATGAAATTGGCTACTTTCTCGAGCTAACGACTCTGGTCTTCTTGCACTGCAGGCTTCCCGTAAAGAGCTGTCCGACAAGGTGGCGGATCTGATATCCCAGATTAAGTGATCATACCGTATGTGTGTTATAACACTTGGGACCAAGTCCCAAGCATGCTTTCAGTGTGTGTCACACGTATGTAAATCAGATTGTATAAACATGTATGAGGAGAGAAACTCTGTGCTAGCGCACTTGGTTGGTACTTGTGTCCATTAACTTGAGTCCAAAAAAACGTTCACACATCACCCCAGAGTATATACGGTACTCTAGAGGTACAAGAAAATGGTGGCTACCTAAGATCTAGAGGAAATCATCTGAGCCTGGAAAATGTTGCATGTCAGGATGAACACCTCCACCAGGAGGACCCCTAGGCCTTGGACGTCCATCCCTGTGTGAAAAGGAGAACATAGAATTGAAGGACGTCCAAACACAAAGGGGGATGACTAAGCAGCTTTGCATGCACATGCTTGTACGGCTGCATATGAGTGTGCGTTGTTTTCATGTAAGTTGATATTCGCATCATGTCAAACTCACTCAGCATCTACTCGAGCAGATAGTGACGTGCTTACCCAAATCTGCCAGGCTCGAAGCCCGGAATCCCTGGAGGACCAAACGGATCAAAGCGAGCCCCTGACGGCATTCCCCTGGAACACACAAAACAACAAAATCACAGTTTCAAAAGCATAGTGGCACCACCAGCCCAGACATCCTGAGGGACATGCATGTAGCAAAAAGGTGTAGAATTGGAAGCTTACGGAGGCAAGGGTCCCATTCCTCCAACTCCTCCTGGAAAAGTTGGGCCCCACCTTGGATCATGAGGCCCTGCACATTACAGAGAGAGAATGGACATGAGTCTCTAAAGTGGTATTGGAGCGCCGACGCATGCGCTGACACCTGACTTCACGAGGGCATCCCTGCATTGGAATACAATACATACCTACAAGCATGCTTCCTCCACCAAAACCAGGTCTGCCACACACAAAGTAAAGGCATTCCCATACACAATCAGGGTGAGTACCACAATGAAGAAAACACATAAAGAGAAAGAAAACGAGGACTGGCCTACCAATCTCTACCTTGAAGGCATGATCCCAGCTCCCCCTCCTGGATGCAAGTCATCATACAGCGGACCTGCAGGAATGGGAGGGTAAACAATCCCTTCCCCTCCCCCCATACCACCGACTGAACCACGCTGAGGCTCGTCAAAATATACCCCTCCTGCTCGCTCTCCCTCTCTCCCTGAACCCCTCGTCGACTCCTGTCCTGCTGTGCCTGTCGAAGTAGGCTGTGCTGCATCAGCAGCGCCAGCACCAGCAGCAGCAGCACCAGCAGCAGCAGCGCCAGCGCCAGCAGTCCCAGCAGGAGTGCCGGAGGTGGTGCTGGAAGGCAACTGCTCGATGATGGCTGATGAGATGGATGTTACCAGTGCCGGAAGGTTAGTGAAGTTTTTACCGTAGTTGGTTGACGTCGGCGGGGTGTCTGCTGACGTATGCTCAGATACCCTGGAGAGTGGAGTGGAAGCAGTCAGAGAGCGCAGCCAATTGAAGGAAATTTAGTGCACGCTAGAGAATGTTATGGAAAGGGTGCAATAATGAATGTAGGAGGTTCACAGACCTAATCTCAAGATGAGATACAGAAGGTGAAACCCCTCCTGCTGCTGCTGAACCTGCTCCAGCCACCGCTGTTGCATCCACCATAAGAAGCTCCCCGTCTGCAACAGATAAGCACTGAACCACCACTCTCTCTGCAGTACCAGTATTCTCTGCACTTGCTGCTTCCGCTGAAGCTCCTGTACTCTCGTGAGCATACGCGAAATTATAAACACCTGGAACTGTGTTCCAACCCTCAATTCCAGCATCCGCGTTTAAAGCTACATCCCTCGACCCTGCAATCATCAAGAAACCAAACCGTAAACCGCAAAAAAAAAAAAAAAAAAAAAAAAAAAAACAGAGAACCTCAGTGTAGCCAACGCAAGGAGATTTGTCCGCCAAAGCTATTACGCCCCTTTTCGTCTTCTCACCTGCAGCTACCTCAGCGGCGTCAGGGCCGACAGCGAGGCACCTAAATCCAGACGAGAGGAACGTCGCATGGATCGCAAACGCAACGCTATCCTGTTTGGAAGTGAATCTCGGTCGATATGCTCTAAGCAGAGCTAAGACCGCCTCGGAAGTGGCCATCTGAGGCTGGATTTGACAGCTGTGGGATGCCGTAATCAGGAAACCCAGGAAAACAACCACGACGCTTAGGGTAAAAGAGACGAGCACGCAATACTTATGGACAAACACAGATGCGAGTACGACTGCGTGAATATGAGGCGTGTAGGGAAAATACGCATCCGCAATGAAGGAATGCCATGCAGCAGAGAAGCCAGTCTTTGAGCAATTCAAGAATCATTGGGAGGGGCTCTATTGCAGCAATTTCGCAGCTCTAAGTATCCTGTTCGCGTACCTCGCCCGCCTGCGTCGCCCGCCAATCAAAATCTTTGATCGAAGCCTAGGTCTGACGAATTACTCAGCTTGCGTATCAAGAATATGTTGAAACACTGTCGAAGAAATAACTGTACCGATTCGATTTATAGAAACACGGGCTCAGAACTGTTCGGACGTGCGGAGCGTGGGTCCTTACCAAACCAACAACGCTGCCTTGCCACGCGTTACAGTCATCAGTTCGAACATGTCGAGCTAATTCCCGAGGCTAGGTTGCACTTGATTCCCAACCACCCACGCCAAACCAGCAGCTTCGTACCAAGTCTCCAGTTTGCGCCGCGCCCTCCTACTACCAGTCCCGCTGTTCTGGAGTCCTCCACAACTGTACAAGGCAAAGGCGGAGAGAACAGTTCAGTACGTCTTCCCCGCATACACATCCAGTGCTTCCGCCCCGTCTTTGCAGGGCCACTTTCCGCCAATCCTTGTCACCTTCCACCAACATATAGGGACCATCCGCCAAGCACTCCTCCCCCTCCGCACGCAACAGCTCCAACACCCTCTTCCGCATCTCCACGCCAATCCCTACTCCCTCTTCCCCATTCCCCCATCCCCGCTCCCCATCTCCCCGGCCCTACTTCCCCCCTTACCCCAATCGCCTTGCCAGCCAGCCCAGTTTTTCCCCCCTTCAGTCTCAGCCATGGTGGTCCTTACTTCCCTTCCACACCCACACCAACTCTGATTATTCCCTGCTCACCTCGCTTCGCCTTCGCCTAGTTAGAACTTAGGAAACCGCCTTAGATCACCGTAACAGTACTTTGAACCTTGGCTGGTTTTCTAATATTCAAAGAGTAACCCGCATTGCGTTATCATCCGCTCTTCCTCCCTCACTTTCAGGTCTTACGTCTTGATCACTAAATGCGCGTTCTTTAGTTCACCTTCCCTGAGACAAAGTCTCTACGCTTCGCAACTTCAATTATTCTTATTATAAAATCATCTGTAAGGCGCACCTAGTTGCCAGTGTTCAGCTAAGACTGAGTTCTCCAGTGCTTGCGTAGAGTCGTGTAACCCTAATTGCACATCAGACCCATGGGTAATTGTTAAGGCCGTATTAACTGCTGGGCCAGCGAGGCAGGTGGACCTATGGGTGGGTGCTTATCTAGCGAGAAGGCGACGAAAGAGGAGCAAAGACCCAATAGTAACGCACCCCCGTCAGGTGAGTCGATAACGGCTATTAATGCATAGCTTCGAGTTCGCTCCTTGATCAGGTTGTTTGTCAACTCACTGCCAGTTGGTGCGCTTTAGAAAGAAAGCGACGATAAGAGTGCGACGAGCTCAGTGCCTTTCGTCCTTACCTTGCCGGTAACTGATCGAGTCCTTCTGTAGTGTGTCGTTTGTTAGCAGTTTTGTCGCTATTATCCTCTGATTGCCAGCTTCCCTTTTCTTTGTCGGCTAAGTCTTTGTTCAACCACAATAGACCCGCTTTTACCATCACGCGAAAAGGTAGTCGACAAAGCTCCAGAGTCGAGTTACTCTCATTGTACCCGTTAGCATGTAGTTTATTTTCCTTCTTTTCGCAACCCGTACGCGCTACCCTTTCTTCGGCTTTTGACTCGCTTTACTCACATTTCACTCAGTCCATTTCTCCTTTCATTCATCCTTTTGCCCCTTGCTTATGCGATGACTGCCTGACGTTACCGCGGGGAATTTCATTTTGAGTCAACTTGAGCGCCACATTGTTTCGCTTATTCGTTCTCCGCTCTTTCTTCCATCATACTTAGGCGGTGAGCTGCCTAAAGCTTCCGCGGGAGACTTTTGCGCGCAATTTTCACTCATTTATTCCTCCCCCACCCCCCTTTTCCCCCTCCTGCTTAGGCGGCGAGCCGCCTAAAGTTTCCGCGGGTGCGCCCGCTCCAGAAGCGGGAAGCCAGCAGCAGCCGCAACTGCAGCAGCAGGAGCAGCAGCAGGCGGAGGAGCAATGGCGGTTGCAGCAGCAGAAGGAGCAGGAGGCTCTGCAGCAGAAGCAGGCGTACGAGGCTCAGCAAATGCAGGAGCAGCAGCAGTTACAGATGCAACAGCAGCAGCAAATGCACTATCAGCAGCAGCAGATGCAGATGCAGCAGCAGCAGCAACAACAAATGTACATGCAGCAACAGCAGCAGCAGCAGCAGTATGGGGTAGATCAGCAAGGGTATAACCCGCAATACGGTATGCAACAACAAGACCCCAGGTACATGCAACAACAGCACATGCAGCAGCAGCAAATGCAGCAGCAGCCACCACCAATGAATCCTTACCAGCAGCCGCCCCACCTAGCCCCACCGCTTCCGCCAGGCTTCCAACAACCCGCCGCGGCCATCCCCCCCCGCGGGTTACGACAAGTGAACGAGGAGGAGGAGGTCAACGACGCGCAGGGGGGGTGGGGAGGCGGAGCGCCCGCGGGAGCAGCGGGCGGGGGAGGTGTTATCGGGTATCAGGAGCAGCCGGCGGAGCTACAGGAATATTCGTACCAGGATTTAGTCGATGCGACGGAGGATTTCCAGGAGCATTCGGTGCTGGGAGAGGGGGGGTTCGGGAAGGTTTATAAGGGGTACGTTTTGGACCGGTTCCCCGTGGAAGGCGGGCCGCCTGTGACGGCGACGGTGGCGATAAAGAAACTGAACCCGTCGGGTTACCAGAGCAAAGTGGAATGGATGGTGAGATGTTCGCAGATCGTTTTTATCGCTTGAGCGCTCGTCTTTCCGTCTTCCGCTCGCCCTCCCCAACCCCCCCCCCCCCCCCCCCGCCGCCCCCCACCTCCCCCTCTCCCCCCATCCCACCATGTTCCGGTGACCTCCGCCTCGGGCTTTTCCGCCCCCTTCCTCGCGCTCTTTCGTTCTCTCCCCGTGCGCCCTTTAACATTCGTCCCCCCCTTGCGCTTCCGCTCGTCGCGGTCTCGCTCTTCCGCCCGCCTCCTCTTTAATGCGTTCCCATTGTTGCGTCCAGTTAGCCGGTTTGATATTAGCTAATTTATTCGGTCGTTTGCGTAAGGTCGCCCTTTCGAAATATTGGAGTCACTTTTGAGAACTCTCAAAAGTTCCTCGGACTTCAATACCCGGAAGGTCCACTGCGCTGGCTAGTATGCCTTGATACATTGATTCCTTACCTCATTTCCCTCCCCCTTCCCCCGCCCTGCCTCCCCCCGCCTCCTCTTTTTCATGCGTGCGTGTCCGTGCATGCGCTGTGCGTGTGTCCGTGCATGCGCTGTGCGTGTGTCTGTGGATGCGCATGTGCGCGTGCATGATCGTGTGCTGCGTGCGTGCTTGCTCATGTGTGGGTGCGAGTGCATGTGCGTGTGTGTGTGTGTGTGTGTGTGAGTGCGTGCGTGTTAAATAACAGAGGGAGATCCTGGTGCTGGGGAAGCTCAACCACCCCAACCTGGTGCGGCTGATAGGCTACTGCGCGGAGCTCGAGGAGATGCTTCTCGTCTACGAGTTCGTTCCCCGAGGCAGCCTCGACTACCACCTCTGGCCAGGTGAGCTTTCTTCCTTGTGAGTCCACTCTAGAGAAGGTTGCTCGAGGGGCCCTGGTGCGGCTGATAGGCTACTACGCGGAGCTCGAGGAGATGCTTCTTGTGTACGAGTTCGTTCCCCGAGGCAGCCTCGACTACCACCTCTGGCCAGGTAGGATTCCATGCGAATATTTCTCTTGTAATCTCACTTGAGAAAAAATGGGCGGGAAGGCCACTGGAGAAGCAGGTGCGAACCTGGTGCGGCTGATAGGCTACTGCGCGGAGCTCGAGGAGATGCTGCTCGTCTACGAGTTCGTTCCCCGAGGCAGCCTCGACTACCAGGAACTCTGACCAGGTTATCGTGATGTTTCTTTTTCCTGCCGTTGCCCCCACTGTGTGCGATCATCCCTCTGCTTGTTCCTAACGTGTGCCTTTTGCCTCTCCACGAGCCCTTCAGCCCCCATCGTGCCCACGGTCCCCCAGCCATGGCGCGCGCGCCCATTGCGTTGCCCACAATGCCGTCTCTGACTCAGTGCCCCTTGGAATCCTCCTTGTTCCCCTCTGCTTTCCCTTTCCCCATCGTGTTGCCCCTCCTGCAATCAGCCCCCATCGTGCCCACGGTCCCCCAGCCATGGCAAGCGCGCCCATTGCTCAGTGCCCCTCTGAACCCTCCGTGTTTTCCTCTCTGCTTGTCCCTTTGCTTTCCCCTCCTCCAATCAGCCCCCAACGTGCCCGCGGACCCTCTGCCGTGGCGTGTGGCTTGTCTACCCTCTGACCCTCCATGTTCCCCTCTGCTTGCCCCTCGTTTTGTCCCTCCTGCCGTTCCTGTCCCCTCAGCCCCCAACGTTCCCGCGGACCCTCTGCCGTGGCAAGCGCGCTTGCGGATCGCGCACGACGCGGCATGTGGGTTGGCGCATCTGCACGCCAGCAACTTCATCCATCGTG